GGCCGACGGTTCCAGGCGCGCGTGTCGCGCGCCGGCGTCGTCCGTCGTCGATTGGCGGTTTGATTGAGAAGCCGCGGCGCGGCTTCCGCGCCAAGGCTGTTTGAATTCAAACAGATTTTGCGCGGGACCGCGTCACATTAACCAATTTCTTTTTTTTAAATATAGGCTCAACAAACACAACGGACACTTAATTTTGCTTCAACATCTTCGAGTTCGTCCGGTATTGTGGACAATGATTCCATGGCATCATTCAGTGGCAGTAGATCTGCATCTGTTCGGTCAATACAAACCACATCCTCTTCAAATACTCTATAGTCAGTGAACTTAAGTCTGACTAGGCAGAGCACAATATCTGACTAGGCAGATTCCATTTTCAACATCAAATCTTATGATAGTAAGAGTACATTTTTTAATTCTTAACTATAAAATTATAATAAATTGTCTAAATTGTTTTAGGAGGAGGATATAAGACACGAGCCATCACGGATGCACTAGTCTATATGGTTGCAAAAGATAATCTGCCGTTATCAACAACAGAAAAACAAGGCTTCCGATTCTTCATGCAGAAAGCAGTTCCTATGTACAAGATTCCATGTAGGAAAACTTTAACTAAAATGGTGAAAAGTAAATATGAAGTCTTATCCACATTAATTAAATCTAAACTAAGTCTTGTTGATCACTTAACCTTAACTTCGGATATTTGGACTGACACACTAAATACAAAAAGTTTTTTGGGCATGACTGTGCATTTTTTAAATTTAAATAAAGTTGCTCTTGACAGTGTCACAATTGGTGTGTTGGAGCTGTCTGCCAGCCCTACAGCTGATAATATTTCCACTTGGTTCGAGCATCTTCTTGCTCAGTAGGGTATAAAAAAAGCCAGATTTTCACCGTCGTCACCGATAATGGGTCAAATATATTATCTGCCGTAAACAAAACTTTTACAAAAGTGTAAGTGTGTTTTGCCCACACACTAAATTTGGTTTCAGAAAGGGCACTGGTAAATCTTACTGATGTACTTAGTGTTATAAACAAAGTTAACAGTATCGTAACGTTTTTCAGGCAATCTGTAGCGGCTTCTGACGAACTTAGAAAATTGTGCGATCTCAAACTCAAACAATCTGTACCAACACGTTGGAACTCAATATATTTCATGATTGACAGATTCATTTTATGTTCGAACCACATAGCTTCAGTTTTGATAAATATTCGCCGGGGCCCCGAAATGTTGACAGCAGATGAGATTGATATAGCTAAGGAAATGTTGTTAGTGTTAAAGCCGATGGAGGTGGCAACAAGGGAATTATGTGGTCAAAAATATGTAACTGGCAGCACAGTTATTCCCCTAATTAACTGCCTTATTAAAAAAACTGAGAGCATTGACTTAACCCATCCAACAGCTTTATCCTTAAAGAGAGCTATGTTAGAGAATTTGGATAAAAGGTTCGGTAGGATGGAGGAGAGAAGTCTACTCAGCATCTCCACTATATTAGATCCCAGGTTCAAAACTATTCATTTGAATAATGCATTAGCCAGTTAAAGAGCTATTAAATTTATTAAAAATCAAATTAATGAAATTAAAAGTAATTGTGATGAACCTAGCTCCTCAAACCAAGGCTCTAGTGATGATGATGTTGAACGCAGTGATAGTTTGTGGTCAGTTCACAATGAGCTGGTTACAAAAAAAGCTGCAACACAAAATTCACACCAGTCTGAAGAGCGAATTCCTACCGAACTCAAACATTATTTAAGCCAGCCCACAATACCGTTAGGTGATGACATACTAAAGTATTAGGATATAAATGGTAATATGTTCCCTCTTTTAAAAAAAAATTGTACAGCCATATTTTTCAGTAGTAGCAACTTCTGTCCCTTCGGAAAGATTGTTTTCTAAAGCGGGAAATATAATGACTGAAAAAAGAAACCGATTAAAGGGGGACAAATTGCAACAGCTTTTATTTTTGAGTTCCCTAAATTTTGAAAACTGGCACATAGAATAAATGTAATTTATCTGTACAGCCTTTTGTATATAATATAATTTGTAAATATGTATAATGTAATTATCTGTATATTATTTGTAAATATGTACAAAACATTTAATGAATCAATACTAAACTCGGCGTTCTCACATATATCACCCGTCCAAACATCAACAATTTCGTTAAGTAGCAGGTCACCATCACCACACCACGCGGCACCCCAAAGGTCCGCATCAACGACCCCTACTACGAAATTAACAGGTACACATACAGTACACACACATAGCACAGAGGTAACCGAAACGGATGCTCTGGTAATGGCGGTGCAAACCGCTCCCCAGAACACCGATATCGCGGTTAAGAACCAGTTATCCAGCTATACATCACCACCAACGTCGAATAACGCTAAACGAGTATGCCCCGACAAAATTCCGACCCCCGCGGTCGAACTCGAATTTAGGTCAGGCCCCGTAACAGCTCTACTCGACTCCCAAGCACAAAAATCGTATGTAAGCCCAAACACAGCACAAAAAAAAATTTTTTTTGGCACACCCCACCACGGACAACCCACTCAGGTACGAATGGCGGATGGACACACTACCATGACAAGTGGTACCTCCACATTCGTAGCCAGAATCGGAGACCTCACGGTAACCTTCAACGCAGCAGTCTGGACAATTTATACTGCGACATGCTCCTAGGTCACGACTGTCTCGTGCAAAACGAAGTCACCTGGGACTACACAACGAGCACTATTCATTTAGGTTCGAATAGGAGAACAACAGCGTGCTGGAAAGGTCGGATACCCAACCCCAGCCCAGCACTAGATGTTGACAAACTAACAATAACCCATGCTAGCGAGATAGGAGCGGGTGCCGTCCTTTTCCAACGGGGTGACAGCCCGGACGAAAGGCGGATAATCGCCTACGCAGGCAAAAAGTTTAGTGATACACAAACAAGGTACGCCGCGATAGAACGCGAGTGCCCCGCGATAATCTGGGCAACCAATGAGTTTAGACCATACCTGGAGGCACGCCGGTTTGACCTATACTCAGACAACTCAGCACTCACATGGCTCCACCGAGCCAGATTTGATGTTGAAAATGGAATCTGCCTAGTCAGATATTGTGCTCTGCCTAGTCAGACTTAAGTTCACTGACTATAGAGTATTTGAAGAGGATGTGGTTTGTATTGACCGAACAGATGCAGATCTACTGCCACTGAATGATGCCATGGAATCATTGTCCACAATACCGGACGAACTCGAAGATGTTGAAGCAAAATTAAGTGTCCGTTGTGTTTGTTGAGCCTATATTTAAAAAAAAGAAATTGGTTAATGTGACGCGGTCCCGCGCAAAATCTGTTTGAATTCAAACAGCCTTGGCGCGGAAGCCGCGCCGCGGCTTCTCAATCAAACCGCCAATCGACGACGGACGACGCCGGCGCGCGACACGCGCGCCTGGAACCGTCGGCCGGCCGTCCAGCGAACCGGATTGTCAAGGCGCGCTCTCTCGTCTTCCCGACACCGTCCGGTACACACCCGAACCACACACACGTTCCGTGTATTTTCGCTACCGGTTCACAATATATATATTAAATAAGCTCTTTTGTTTTTTTAATAATAAAGACTTAGTTTACACCACAGTGCGTCGTTTGTTTGTTTCTTTTTGTTAATAATTTGTTTACTATCCCGTCTGTTGTTTCGACCCGACTGTCTCCGTCGGTCACCACCATCACCTCACCACACCACGCGGCACAATAGAAGTCCGCGTCAACTGGCTCCCCGAACAGGAATCACCGGTAAGTGAAAACTATCTTACCACTCACTACCACCCACATATACCCCCCGTTGCGCGATTGGAAAAAGTCCCGGACGCGTTCCGGCAAAAACGTGGTTTGCAGGCGGTAACTGAAAAACCGGCGTTACGTAATATATTACATAACCATAAAGGACGTAACGACCGGCCGCGCCGCCCGACTTTACGGACGCACCGAC